AATTAAAGAAGAAAAAAGAAGTAAGTATACATATTTTATACGTAATATTATAATGTAATGGTTTTTGGCCCAACTGTATTTGCGCCAACCTGAGTTGAATTAACGTTTCATGCTCTCCTATTAGTAGAGCCAGTAACGTAAAAAATAAATGGTAAAGCATTTTCCAACTCAGGTTGGTGCAAACCCGGTTGGGCTGAAAACATTATTATATTGCATAACAATATTTGAGGTTGTGCCGGTTATTATTAACACTGAGATTTATGGCATCTTCGGCCTGATCAGGTTCGCAATAACCTGGATTGAATTAATGACGTTTCATGCTCTCCTATTGGTAAAGCGTGTAACATCAACCAATAGCAAAGCGTTTTTCAACTTAGGATCGGATATCGATTATGTACTTTTCCCTTATAGGGCGGAAACATGAAAAGTGAAAATTTTTTATATGTGTACATATATAATATCCCACACACAAAGTCTAAGATTGTGACATAAGACGTCTTTAAATTGTTTTTTAAACGTAAAAAATGTCTATGACGCGATTTCAGATACTTTTTGTTGTCTGCTTAAACTTAAGCAACTTAAGTTGTTTTCCATTTATACATAAGTGAAACTGAGTTTCACTCTGAGAGAAATGAGCTGAATATCCCATACATTAATGACGTCACTATTTGCTTACTTTAAGTAAAAAGTAATCACATGACAACACAGGTTCATCTCTTTTAAAATGAGTTTACGAGATTCACTTTAAGGCCTGTTACAACGTTTGACTTTAAGCGATGCTTAAAATTCTCTCTATCTCTTTCAGCTTTAAAACGAGACAGATAGAATTAATTTAAGTCTCTTAATTTAAATCAAAGTAACATTGGTGCAACCGGACTTAAAGCACATGGTCTCAATTTTGTGTAGATTGTAGATAAAAATTCAGTTGAATCTCATTTGTCAAAATGCAAAAGGAATGCGCATTCAACTGACAATGAGTTATGACGTCACAAGTGAGAATTATCTGAGAATTGATATAAATGGAAAGCAACTGTACATAAAAATTTTCACTTTTCACTTTTCCGCTCCAAAGAAAGAGTTACACGATCAGTACTCAGATTGATGCAAACCGGTCGGGCTAAAAACGCTATTAGTTTTTAAAACTATCGACTTAAGTGTACGCTGCGGTATCTATACTTAGGCCTGGTTGCATCAACGTTACTTTAATTTTAAGCGAAACTTAAAACTCTTAGTTCCTGTCTCTTTTCGGTTTTAAAACGAGATAGAGAAAATTTTAAGTTTTGCTTAAAATCAAAGTAACGTTGATTCAACTAGGCTTAAGCTGCATAAATTAACCTTAGTACAAACGATAATCAACATCTCAAACACATGTACACACTTAAGCCGGAAATACAATGAAAGACACAGGCGATAGGATTGATAGGAACAGGGAATAAGAGATCTATCAGAAAGCATCCATTCTAGTATATATTTCTGATAGATTGAAATTTATTAAACAAATTAATAAGAATTGAAATTTATTATTTCCTGTTCCTATTGTTTGCGCTTTTTATTGTTTTTCCAGCTTTAAAACTGTTTTAAATATATTAATTTTTTATATATTTTAAGATGTAATCTAAGAAGATGTCAAGAAACTATAAAAAATAAAATACAAGGAGAAAATCCGTTATTCAAGATCAATTAGATATAGTAATGAAATTGCTTGAAAAAGGATTTACCAAAAGAAAAGCAGCTGAGAAGATTGGTATCAGTGAATCTGTATTGGGAAAAAGATTGAAGATTCCATATGCATGTGTTTTTTCAAGGACGTTTCAAGTCTACATTTGATGTTGCTCAAGAAAAACAATTCATCTATCATTAAGTAAGAAGATGGGTGATTTATTTTTTTATTTGATTTTTAATGACGCTCGCAGGCTAGCTTTTGACTTTGCTGAATCAAATAAAATATCTCATCTTTTTGACACTGCAGTAAGAATGGCTGGTCGCAATTGAGATAGCTAGATAGCTAGATAGCTTTCTTATTCGACATGATGATTTACACATTGAGCGTCAATCCAATCTGTTAGTTTAGCAGGAGCAACAGGATTCAACAAAATTCAAGTTGACAGATTCTATAAAAATCTTGGAATTAAATGATAAATACAAATTTAAACCTAACCGTATCTATAATATGGATGAAGTCGACATGAATACATTTTCAAAAAAAATTCCAAAAGTCATATCAAATGAGAAGAAAAGTTTCAAAAAAAAAATCCAAAAGTCGACATGAGTATATTTTCAAAAAGAAATCCAAAAGTCATATCGAGTAAGAAGAAAAAAGTTGTTGATGAATTAGTATCATTAGAGTCAGATATCACAATCACAGGTCATTTGTTGCATGAATGCATCAGGTCATTTTATTCCTTCGGTTTTCATCTATTCTCGAAAATGCCCTGAACTGAATTACTAAAAGATGGACCAACTGGTTCAGTTTATATGGTTTCAGACAGTGCTTATATTAACATGAACTTAATTTTAATGTGGATGCATCACTTCAAAAAATATGCACATCCGATGAAAAATGATCCTGTTCTGCTTATAATTGACAATGATTCTTCACATATTAGTTTGAAGGCTATTCGGTTTGCTTGCTGACAATAGAATAATAATACTTATTCTTCCTCCTCATAGCAATCATAAAATGCAACCGCTGGATATCAATCAATATCAATATTCAATTCTTTAAAAACGAAATTTGCAATTGAGTGCGATAAATGGATGACACAGCATCCAGAGGAATGACTGAATATCAAGTGGTCTGTCTATTCAATATCGCTTATAAGTAACTTGCAACAACACCCAATGCTGAATCGGGATTTAAAGTTTCAGGAATTTATCCTTTTAATGATAATCTTTTCAATAGATTTTGCACCAGCTTCAGTAACTTAAATGTTAAAGGCAACGATGGCACAATTGCAGAATTGCATCAGAATTCCTCCATAGAATTGCATCAGAATTCATCCGCAGAATTGCATTAGAATTCATCTAACAATGGCACAATTGTCAGAATTACATCAGAATTCATTCGCAGAAGATCCATAAAAAAAAAGAATGAATTTATTGTAAGTCACTTCTTTTGGAGCTTAATGTAATTGAATTACTTTTTAGAAACACTCAATCCGAATCGTTCCAATAATCCGTAAGTTGATAATAGAAATCAAAGATTTTTACACATTTTTTTGAGCTATGAGCAAATAAATTTTTTCGTACTAGAGCCCCAACTTTGAACATATGAAACATTTAAAAAATATTTTATGCTGTATGGGTAATAATCAAATAAAACAACTTTGTCCATTTGCTAATACTACGAATTCTAATTAATTTTTTATCTCGAAAATAGCTTGTTCTATCGAAAATGTTAGAGAGCTTTTTTCTGCGGATTTATCATAAAAAAATCAATGACATACCAGTTTTTTTTTTTCATAAAAAAAAGGGGTCTTGCTTATTCTTAGATCCGTCCCTGATTGAATAAAAAGATAATGTATAATCCCAAAAGATAAATTTTTTTCATATCCATTAAACATATATCAAGTTACAATTCGGTTTTTAACATTTTTGAAAAAAAAAACGAAATTTTGTCTAAAAAAACATCGTTGATATCTTAATTGTATCCTTGAAAAACCGTTTCCAACAAATCGTCATATGAAGTTTTAGTGTCTTGAATTTGTATCAGCAATCACTTTAGCATACTTATACACCCTGTACGGATACATTCTGTATAATACAATGTGCTAACTTTGCAAAAACCGATATCAAAGGATTTGTGAAGTCAGCACATGTCAATTCTATTGATGTGGGGAAAACAATCAGTGTCAGAATAACACTAGAGATATGTACTATAGGAATTACAGGAGCACTTTTAATTCTATATAAAAATGAAAAGGAGTTTTGCATTTTTTATATTAAATGAATGAATGATTTTTTAAATTTAACGAGTGCAATTATCTTGAATGTAATTAAACATCTTCTTGATAAACAGCATAAATAAAATTTCCGAATGATGCTTTTTAAAAATATACAGAAGAGAATAACGCTTAAAACGGAATCCTTTTTCCATTTTTAGTCTAAACAATCTATGATGACGTAATCCGTTTAATAATAAATGATATTAATACATAAATTAATAAATAATTGATAATTCTTTTATATGCGACTTGAATATAGATACGATTGTAAATTCGGGTCCTGTTATTGTTTCTGTTTTCTCGCCGATAAATGATTAAAGTTGAGTTGTAACAAGGCATGTCCGTTTCAATCACTTAACACCTATAAACAATTTGAAAAACGCTCATGATTACTCGTTCTGTATCGGTTCCTTTCCAACGTATCGTGTTATGCCGAGATTGGTAATCCACTCGACTGTTTGGATATTGACGCTGCTTTTCGCTGTGATTGAAAATAAAACATATCCAGGTATCTGTCATCACAGTTCGTATAACTTTTTTATCTATTGTGCCGAATGCTTCTGTATACACTTGCAAAGGCGACAAATGTTATTGGAACAAATGATAAATAGTTTTTTAGATGCCAAACTGATCGATTCCATTCTTTATAAATTTCTGAATTTTAGAATCATATGATTATAATTCATGATTTTATCAACTTTCTTTATTCTCTACTTCATAAATTTAAGTTAAAATCGATTTTAAAAGATTTTACTTCTGAGAAGTTGTTTAATGAAAAAGTCATACAACAACGATGATGATGGTTATAAGCTCAATAAAATTGATGCTCAATCCTCTGCATTTTTTCCAGAAAAAAATGTTTACTTTGTAGATTTTCGAGAGGACAAAGTAGCACATAATTCCTCCGTAAGTTTTTGGAAGGGAAGACCACTTCGTGGAAATAAAGCTCTCGAAATTGTCAGATCAGAATTCCCGAACGAGACTTTGCCATTTCGAGCAGCAGGAGATATAAATCTTGAAGGATATAAAAACGCCAGCTTAAATACAAGAACTTTGATGGATTTTAACGGTCCAGTTATAGAGGATATGAACGATCAGAATCTCGCGAATCATATTCGCGTCAAGAGAAATGAACCGATTGTTCATCGCAGACCAAGTTCCGTGAATTTGCTTCCACGAAATTTCCAGCGCAGGACTGATGAGACAAGCATATTTAGTGACGCGACATTAAAAGCATCACGTTCGGAGTATGAGAACCAATCTAATACCATTGTGGATACCATGGTACCGCAATCACACAAACGACATAAACGAGGAATCTTGTCGGAAAATGGTCATCGTAGGAAACGCGTGAAGGGAAATATTGGACATTCTAAACATAACGTTGAGACGAAAAATAAAAATAAGAAGCACAAAGCACAAAGTGCTTTGAAGTCTCCCAATCAGTTTGTCACGAAAAAAACGAAAAATCCAAACTTGAGTATGTTCTCTTTTATTTCGAAAATATATCAGATTATATTCATTTCACTAAAGCCTAGTTCCACAACTCATAGTTAACTTTTAACAGAAATTTAACTTAAAATAAGTTAAATTTCTGTTAAATCTCGGTTAAAAGTTAATGAGTTGTGAAACTGGGCCTAAATATGGTCATTTAAATCCTAACATATGTTATAAGAGATATTTTTACAAATCAAATAAAACTCAAAATTAGATGCAGTATTAAGAAGAGAGAGATTGCTTACCTAGATTCTTTATTTTTAATCTAAAACAGATTTAAAATAAATTTAATCCTTAAAACTCCTGAGTAATCATCATAACCACACAGAATTATGATATCAGAAGCGAGAAATGACATGTTAATTTTTATTACAAATAAAATGATGAGATTGCTTTAAAACGTTTGTAAAAATGGATGAAAACTATGCTTATCCTTTCTCTCCTGATAATCAATAAATAATTGTAAAAAGTGATAAAACGCACATTAAGTGCTTTTATTTAATGCGTACCTTATTTACACGTTATCACTTTTTATGATTATTTACTGAGTGTCAAGAAGGATAGTTTTTACCTATTTTTACAAATGTTTTAAAGCAATCTTATCATTTTATTTTATCCAAATCATTTTATTGTTATCATTTTGTTGTTATTTAAATGACATGTAATAAAAATTAAATTAATTAATAGTTAAGAGTTAAATATATTAAAAATTATATAAAAAAATAAAACCTTTACAAAGAAAGTATTTAAAACCAAAGATGTACTTTTAATTTATAGAATGTGATAGACACAACATAGATAACATGCAACATATATATATCGCGAATATATTACATACTACACAAAATCAAATCTGAATTTTTAGTTTCTCAAAACGAATTCTTTTCTATTTATCTCATTTATTTATAGAAAAAAGAAATAAAAATACTCAAAAAATCAGAATGCGTGCTAAAGCAATCGACAAGTTGCGGAAAATAGAAAAAAGAGAATCCGAAAATAGCGATTTCAACAATAATATTGACAGTGCGAACGAACAAACGGAAGCTTTAATTAATCGGAAAGAAGATGCGTCATTAATAAATAGAAGTTTGACAAAAGAACAGCGACAAAAAAACGCCGTAATGTTACCTTTTGTGCACATTGGAAAAGCGGAATTGCATGTTCGTATCGAAAAAATTCCTACGAACAAATCATCGTTTATCAGTCCTAATAATTGGACGGATTCATTCGGGACTAGTCCTTGCTCGATTATGTTACCGAAATATAATACAAGCGATGAAATTTTCAATGTTAACCCAAATGTTGCTCCGAATTTTGATTCCGCTGAAAAAAAGAAAGCTAATAACGTTCTAGTAAAGATTACTTTGAAGAAGCAAGATCCCAGAAACGTGTCTGGTCAGGCAACAAGCGATTCTGAAAATACATCGTTCTATAATGCGGAAGTCGAAATGGAAGCTCATCCGATTGAATCCAACATGTCGAGAATCGAAAATCGAAATACAAAAAAAGAAAAGTATGATCATATGAACGAGATGTCTGTAGAATTATCGGAGGACTCAAAGTTGCGAGCGAAGAGAAACCAACAAGTTATGTCTAAGTATTTACAAAACGATAAGAACTCAAAGGAAGCGACACGTTTCAAATACACCGAAGAAGGAATCGGAGACACGAAAAATGAGAAGACAAGGTACAGAAGGACTCAAGGTAATCGTGCTGTAAGATCGATCGAAGAAATTAAGGAGCTTGCTGAAAAGTTAATCGCCAAGGTAAGAAACTGTTGTCAGGAATCTTTCTTGCAGATTATATCAGAGTTTAGTGTAGAGATCCTTCGTTTCCAGATAAACGAATTGCAAGTATATGTGAGCAATCGTAGTGAAATTCTATATAATTCTATAAAAGAAAGGGATTCTTGTAAAAATCGCACAATCAAGGAGGAACCGAAGATGAACGTGAAGAAGAAAGACATTTCAAGTTCTACATCCAAGATTGCTGAGAACACTGATAATCGCCAGCGCTTTGCAAAGGAAGCAATTTTGGCAGGTAAAAGAACATCCCAAATGCGTTCTAACGGTTCGAGATTCGCGCGAGGAGAATATCGAACGAGGAGGAAATCGCGTCGCAAGTGGGGCAGGTGGATGGACTGGAGCAGCTGTAGCGTCACCTGCGGCAAGGGTCGACAGATCAGGTGGCGGCATTGCCTGCACGACTGTAATGATGCGGAAACTGAGATGGAAGAGAAAGCATGCCAATTGCCGGCTTGTCCCCCGAGTAAGTTCCTCGGAATATTTTGAAAGATTCCTCCTTCAACAGACGACGATCGGCGAGCGATGTTTTGCAACGTATCAACGAGTCAGTACCATAATTATTAAAGAAATATTATGTAAAACAGCAATGTGATTTGATGTGGTACTATAATCTTCCGGTTGCTTAAAATGTATAGAATTATTTATTCATCTAACTGCGCTTCATGAAAAAGGATCTCAAATGATTTCTCGATAAGGAACGTTCGCGAAGTATCAAATTCTTTGAAATTCATTTTATGCTGTTCTTTTTTCAGTGTAATAATTTCTGTACAAAGATTTTTATCACTTCGGATCACGCGCTTGTTTTATTTTACACAGGAACTTTTAAACTTACAAAAATGCAATTAACAATCAATGACGATTTATCCCGGGAAGATTGTTTGAACGATGGAATTCTTGAAATTCGCAAGTTACAAACGTTATCGCCGTATAAAACTGAACAAAATTTTTTTACAGCCTCGTGAACCTTCCTTCCTTATTAATTATCCATGTACACAGTTTGCATTTTATATAATAATAACAAATCGTTTGATGTATATTTCTCATCGTCTCATTATCAAATACATAATATATTATACAGCATTTTAAACAATATCTCCTTCTTCGCCTTCAGTATTCACAAATAACGAGGGCATTCATTGATTAAAGAGTAAGTTCGTAGCAGCTCGATCATCGTATTCAATGTCACTAAGTCACATTGATTTATACAAGATACGATTGTCTACCCCTTGCTAATAATCGTGTTACAAAATAGGCTCTTTTTAGTTGAACTTTTGCACCACCTGTTTTCTTCCTTTTTTTCTTCAGAAGGAAAAAAGAAAAAAGATGAACTGGTGCAAAAGTTCAGCCAAAAAGAACAGGTCTAATATTAACGAGCATATATACTTTCCATGCACACACAAGTAGATATGAATCTATACAACGCTTTCTTACTTTTTCCAATCAAATGACGCAGTACTTTGCTCTATCAGCAATCCGTACATTTTTGTGTATGTTATAAAATCTGATATCGTACAATATTTATAAAGTTTTCTACAATACATTTTTTCTTACGTTCGTTTTCTGTGATGCTCTGATTTGAAAAAATATTAATAAAATTCAGTCGACCATTTAACATTTTTATCCTATCAATTTAGGCGTAACGTAAGAATCGAATTGTATTGTATGAGCAACGTATAATTCATCTACATATTAATAAGCTAGATGACATACTTTCTATAAGCAATTATTTATCAAAGAATATTCAAAAGCAAATATAACATGTTTATGCAGCAAATTTTATCATAATTGGAATATTATTACGTCGTCAGTATAAGTTTTCAATCATCAACAATTTATTTTTAATTTTTTTTTTAAACACTTGATGGATAATGGAAGATCCACCAAGATTGCTTTTAAATGCAAGGTAAAATGGACATTTGATAATTAAAAACAATTGTTGATAAAAATTAAGATTTCTAGCATGCAGATATAATTTATATTAGAATCTATTTTTCTTTCGAACATATTTTTAGATATGTCAATTATCAGACATATTATTTATTGATAACTTGCAAAATATTTTCATGCATGACACATTCGTAATTGCTGATTTAAACAAAATACGTCTTATTTAATTTATATTTTGATGTTAATGCTGAGTCTCACTCTTGACTAAGGTACAATAAAAAAATGCTAGAAAATAACGATACAAGATATAGTACCGAAAATTGTATAATCGAACATTCGTGAAATGAATTAAGCGAATGAGAAAGACAATGCTAATGTAACGCCTTCAATTATTTAATATTTGACTTATTCAGGAGAACACATAGCGTTACATATACAAATTGATCACATTGATAAAACGCATCTATTCTTCGTGCGCATGTATTCACGCATACATATAAATGTTCTTAACTATGCATCGTTACATAAGCAGTATCAATAGTCACATATCGTGCACATTGGCATTCACAATTTTGTCCTAGATTAAAAGGACGCAAATCAGTCAACAATGCAAATTGTAATCTTACCTATCATTCGACTACTTAAATTGTGAATGCTATATTTGATAACTTTGAGTGTTGTTTTAACATCGTTGACCTATCTGTAATTGTAATTATTCGGTAGATTTGATATATGTACGTCAGATTGCAGTCAAAACTTGATGTTCATAGCTAGTTGCTTGCACACTTTTAGCTTATCATTTAACAAGAAGTCACTTGTGTGAAAAAAGAACCAAGGCGCATATTGTGATATTGTATACGTACATACGTACGCACGCACGCACGCACGCACGCACGCACGCACGCACGCACACACGCACGCACGCACGCACGCACGCACGCACACACACACACACACACACACACACACACACAGTGACTTCGTCGTGATCCATGAGATCAGAATATAACACCACTATTAAAATAATATATTTCTTGCTTGTTCGACTTGGTTATTCTCATCAGAGGAACAATAAGCTAGTATGTCTATTTGCTGCTCTTCACCTCCGGCTAACACTCGTACATCTCGGTCCACATCAACACGCATCTTCGTAAGTATTCTTTCCACTTCTTCCATTGTGCCTATTCCCAAATTATCTACTAAAAATAAAAATATACGAAATGAGATACAATATACTAAATTAGCGCGCGATATATTATGATAATAATATAATACTTTAATAATACTTACCACCCATCGCAATCACATCCGTTGCTATAGTTCTCGCAACGGCTAACCTTACATTAGGTACTCTATCACACGACAAACTTATCAAACATGGTAACATTTCCTTAGAAAACTTCTCTTCTGGGATCGCGTTGTTGCGAATTAGATGGGAACATACAAGCGCATAAGTTTGCCGATGTATCCACTTTTTAGCGTCTAGAACTAGAGTCTCTCGAAGTTCGTGAATAAGGGACATTACCAGAGCATCCTCGTTGGACAAGTAGCACATTATTCGTGTGATCTGAAGGAATTTGAATTTTATAGCTAAAACAATTATGAACTATGATATATATGTGATAGGTGCAATTATTATACCAGTTCAAGCGCGATGGTTCTAACAGCAGCAACCTTATCTACAAGTAGTTGGAAAGACAGCGGCGCGATACTCTGGGCCACATCGCTCGGACTGAACAGACTTACAATCTCGAGCAATTGTATGGCTAATTCCTCCCTAAATCTCCAGTTCCATTCGTTATCTGTAGCAAGGAAATCGCTCAGTCTTGGTAGATATTGACAGCGATCGATGGGTTTGAGTATTTTCAGAAAAGTTGCAAAGTGCTTGAGCACACCTATTCTGACCTCGTCGAGATCTTTAATAAAACCATCGTAAATTGGAACGAGGTCAGTAGCAGTGAGTTCTTCGCCTAAAATCATGGCAATCTCATGAATGCTGGATGCTAGAGTACGCCTAACTCTCCAGTGTTTCGCGCTCGACAACGATTGGTAAGCCTTCTTCAAGTAATGCCAGTTCTCTTTGCCCAGCGTAAGCACGACTGCAGGAAAACTAAAGGCACAATAATGTGAAATATCGGCACTCATGAACACGCATTGATTTGGATTGGCCATTGATACATAATAATTAATTAATTCTTGAGGTACAATCTCTTGTTTATTATGCTTCACATTTAAATTCTTACAAGATTCGTCACTCTTGCTCATAGAATCTTCGTCATATATATAAAATTTTCGCTCTAGGTTAGTACGCTTCTCGTACTTTTCTCTTAAAGCCAATTCTCTTTTTAGACATCGAGATTGCATAACTCTATCAATATGCACTGGATTTGGAGAGATATACTCGTCTTTTTGCTTTTCCTTTTGTTTATCATCGTCTTGCTTTTCCTTCTGTTTATCGTCGTCTTGTTTTTCCTTTTGTTTATCGAAGAATTTGATCATTTCAAAGACGTTTACATTTGAATCATCGTTTGATTGTTCGTTTATATTTGAATCATCTCTATTCGAATTCACGTGAGGAACTACATTTTTGGAAAAAAATGTGATTTTATAAACGTTTACATTTGAATCATCGTTTAATTGCTCGTTCATATTTGAATTATCATTATTTGAATACACGACAGGAACTGGACTTTCGGAAGAGCAAGAACTATTTTCTACGGTAGAATTTTGTTCAGTTTCCACCGCTTTAGGGACATTATTACGATTCATCGCCGATTGCCTTGCGGCATGAGTAAGTTCATCATCCAGTGGTATATCCGGAGGTATATAATAGTATAAAAATGGATTGTATTTTTCCGCATCACGCGTTTCTTTCTTTATTTTATATTGGTGCATTCTTTCTCGCCAAGACTGAAAATAAAAAAATAATAGAAATATAATTTTATATTTAAGTAATTTTAAGTGGCATATACATAATGAATTCATAACAAGAATTTTAATATGAAATTTGTTTTATTGAAATTATTAACAAAACAAATTTATTTTAAAATAACGTTTATGTTTAAAAGGTAAACTGTCTATCATGATTTCTAGAACTATAAAGAAATTTAAAACAAAAAATACAACTTCTATTATAGTCTTCATAAAAAAATTTTAACAAATGTCAATGTTATGATATATGTCGTAAGATATTTTTTTATTTATACATACTTTTGGGCAGTCAAGTTCCGTTTTTTGGTAATCATCTTCTTTTATGGAATCATCTTCTTCCGATACTTTAACATCTTCATGTCTCACATTCATCACAGGCAGATAAAATGGACTTTTAGTATTATATCTGTATTTGGTATTTGCTATCATATCTTCGTCCATATCTGGTATTTGATTTTTGATCGTGCTCTTCATAGGAAAGATTCCTTCGTACGAGTAACATATACTGCACAAACATGCATTCAAGTTAGATTAACATGAATTTATTTAAATTGCAATGATAACAGAAAAGTATGCTGTTGTACCTGGGATGATTATCCTGCTTACTGATATACACTAATTCATCATTCTTATTATAAGTAACTTCGGCGAACTGCTTGGCGAAAGTTGATATGAATGGTCCAAGTATCTGAAAAGCCGATATTCGTACCCATTTGGAATCATCGATCAAGTGCTTAGCCAATATGTCCGCAAGTAATAATCGCCGATGTTCGGCCGTCAAACAACAAGAAACCGGCATCATAACCTCGACACACGCTTTTCGCACGTTCCATATTCTATCGCCGCACAGATCAATAAACATAGGAATCTAAGATACAATTCATACATTAGTAAATGGTACCACTTTCATTTATTACTGGATCAAAATATGCCCATGAACTCTTTAACCTTCCATTTTTATATCTATGAATAAGACTTACCAATTTGCTGTACAATTTCTCCTTTCCTACAGCAATGCACATTTCCCCAAAGTGAGTAGCGCAGATTCTCCTCACCATCATATCATTATCTTCGCATAGGTCTAAGAATCGTGGCAGAAAGATCTTTTCTGTAAGTTCGCTACCAACCAGCGGTGCCAATCTACACATGAGCTGCGAATCAATATAAAATATGGAACGTTGGGAAAAAGTGAATAATCATTACGAGAAATTTAACATTAAATAGATATGCGCTATCGCATATCTATTTAATGTTAAATGTAGACTTATAAATTTATATTTTAATTTTAGCCGCATATTAGAATCATTTCTGACTACGCAAATTGAAATTCTCTTAAATAGTTAAACAAGTATATGTAAACGTGCGCAACTTAATCAACAATTTTACACACATACACACACGCACGCACGCACGCACACACGCACGCACGCTCGCACGCACGCACGCACGCACGCACGCACGCACGCACACACACACACACACACACACACACAGTGAACGATAAGAATATTTTTACAGTATATTAAATAATATTTATAAAATATTAAGAAATAGGTGAGATATATCGTTCCGTTCCGCTCATCAAAGCTGGCTGTGATATGAATCAATAGCACCACATCACAACCACTCTGATGGGAGGAACAATCGATTTTATTCAATCAGCCTTTCCTGAGAGATGAGCATTTAGTTAATAGATTAATGCTTATTGTACACAAGATACGAACTATATTTACATTACAAAATGACATATTTCTTTATCACATCAAGATAAATACATTTATTCGAATTATTACAAATTGCATAATCGCATTTAAATAATTAAACTACATGAAAAAAATATTTAATCAAATATATTTCCGTGAAAAATCAATCATTATCTTTTTCATTTTTTAAAACGTATGCGTAATACATATTGTACGTACAAATATTGTAAATATGGATATATACATGATATAAAAATTATCTTACTGTAAAAAATTTATTATATTTTTTTAAATAATTGTGTAGAAATCTTTTTTTTGACAACATCAGTAAGAATTTATATTTATATTTATTCGCTATTTCTAACTCTTTTCCCTATTCCAGTCGATTATTTCAAATAGTTTTAGACTTCCTAAATAATTTCCTAAATATATTTAAGTATAAAATATTCTTTGTAATTTCTTTCGCACATTCCAAACTTGTCGAATTGTGAGTGTCGCAACGCTCATCAAAGCTGGCTGTGATATGAGCATCATTACATCAGCATATTACAACCACTTTGTGAGCAACGCGAGCACGCTTTCCTCTGTAGCCGAGAATATCTTCAAAGCATCGTACGATGATCCTTGCTTACATCCTTTCATATTTTCGTATAAACGGAGGGCGATGCATAAAACGGCGATCCAAATCGTCAAAAATGGCTGTGATATGAAATTCAGAGAAGCAACACGCCACAACCAATTTGACGATTGGATCGCGTTCCTTCCTGTGACACTATTCATCGTTTCGAATGGTTCGGATAGCTTCGTGTGGTGACTTTCAAAATGGATCTCTTGTGAAATTTGACGATGCAAATGTGAATATAACGCAATCTTCCGGTAGACCTTTCCTGTCATTTGTTTCACGCATTTGTCTCCAGATGTGTCGCATGTGTTATCGATTCAACAGGTACATATATCGACGGCAAAAGTAGAATCTTCTCGACGATCAATTCTGCGAGCCAGCTCATCAAAATGGCTGTGATATGACTCGAAACATTCCACAACCAATTTGATGTATCGGACCGCAAAAGGTATATCCCCGTTCATGGTGTTATAACGGCGTTCCTCCAACATGTCATCTCTTGCTTCTCCATTGTCTTTCTCAAGCCTCACGTATTTTCCATTACTCCTCTTCTGTTCTGTCATTTAATTTCCTCCTTTTTCTTGCCTTTGATCTCTTAATCACTGGAGCGCGTTGAAAACGGACACAATTTTGATCATCAAAGCTGGCTGTGATAGTCGAACTCTATGACAAACCAACTTTGATGGTAAAAGTATGCCCTCTCTTCATCAGGATGTCAGTATTTGTATTTTTCACGAACGCTCTATGCTCTCTTCGTCTTCATCTTTCTTTTTTTCTTTTTGTTTATGGAAATCTTCAAGCGATAATAGCTAAGTATTCCTTGCTCCTTTAATTTCGCTCTTAAAGTGCATTTACTACGTGCTAAACTCCTTGTATTCCTTTTTTTCCTTTTCCCAATTTCTCCTCTCATTTTCCTTATCTTCTTATTGTTATAAATTTCTTGCTTCGATTTGACGTTTTTTCGTTGGCGCGACAGATCGTGTAATTTTCATCATGTGATTCTCGTTTTTGCGCAACATTGCCGAAGCGAGCGGACGCCGCATGAAAGACAAGATAGTGAGACGCGATTGCGTAAGAACATCTCACTACCCATGTCTTTCAGGAGGAATCCGTAAATACTGAGAGCTGTATTCTCGATTTCGCATGCGAAAAAACGCGATCGCCACGTACCTATTTCTAATCGCATGAACAAGATTTCGAAGCTTTTTTTGCGCATCAACAACGAAAATTCGGCATAAAATAGACTATACAAAAGACAAATCTCACAAAATTGATTTGTCTTAAATAATTACATAAGAATATATATAAAAAATAATAGGAAAGACCTTTTCTTTAGATAGATATCTATTTTATTTACATATTGTCTACTTATAAAGAGAAATAAATGATAAAAATGTTTGTTTCGTTCAATTTATATAATTATTTTCTTGCGGAGAACTTAAGGACTTTATCGCACTGTCTACCCTGCCTTCATAAATAACTTTCTTCAAATAGCAATGTAATTTCGAGAATGTATTGTGTACAGCCTTTTTTATGTCAACTCTTCTATTATTTTTATTTTACAAGAGGATAACAATACGAAAGGATAGGAAGTACGAATGAAGTACGAGAAACTTACGGAGATGTTCGCATTTCGAGTATGTTCATCGGCCATATCGCGGGATCCTAATTGCCACATGTAAGAAAGTTTTTCTATTGTAGGACAGATAACATTCTCGATCGTGTCATTGTCAAGGAGGCCTCGTTTCATCAACATTGTCAGCGCGCTTTGGGCCATTTGTCGTACCTATAGAGAAAAAAAGTCTCAATATTTACATCGTTACTGAAATACTTCGGTTTTTATTTTGGGTTTGTGTGCAAAACACGACACAGGCACGATTCACTTGCCTGATTGTCCTGATCGTTCAGATACTTCATCACGATATCAAGTAGATAATTGCGGATAACATGGCCGAAGAGATGTGGTGCTTCGTGACAGATAATCGCCACATTTGGAATTTGCTCCACTAGGTCCGACCGTACCAAAGCATCTGCGAACAGAAAATGTATATTTGAAAGCATAAAAGATCGTTTCTCTCGTCGCGTATTCATTTGATAATTTTATTTCTAAGAATACAATCAGTTTCATAAAAAATCAGGACTTGAAATGTTAAATTAATGGAATTGAATTAACTAAATCGAACGTGAATAAACTCGCTATATTTTCTTACTTTTTATTTAAATGATGTTTCAAAAGTGGACAACATATTATATGTCCTAAAAAATTGTTTTCTCTAAAAACTTCTAAAAGAACGTTATAAATAATTTCTAGAGAAAAAAATTTCTTTTGTTCACGATCGATTTGGTTAATATATACACAATATATAGATATACGGCCGATTCCGCGCTATCTCGCGTGTGTTTTTAGTGAGAAACATCATGTCTCTTCCGATTTCTTTTTTGAATTAATCTTTGATACATCTTTGATAAAAATCTAATATCGCAAATATTTTCAAATCTCTTGAAGCTATATAAGAGTCGGAATTAATAATTATACGCACAAATTTTATAAAAAACTCAACAGACACCGAGTTCGATACATACTGCCCGAAATGAAGATTAAGATAAATCGCTTTTTTTTTCAGATTTACCTAGAGGCCATATTGTCGTGCTATTACGTATTATCACTTCTTGCAAGCTCGAGATCCACGCAGCGATATTCACAGAAGAATCTCGAAAAGAAACGTTCTTGAGATTTAGACGTTTACTGAGGATTCGTGACGAACAATACGGAAGCAATGGCTTCCCGATAAGTTACGAAGGAGGGGGATGCTAGAAGCGGGGGTGCAGAAGCTTACATTGGGCCTTATGATAGGACCATAGGCTAAAAGACTAATTCGGTGGGGGAAAGAATTGGGGGTATATACGAATGAAACTCAGAGAAGGAGTGAGAGAGAAGCGAAAGTGATGTGTGTGCCATCTTGTGGACCATCCATACACATCCTTGAACATCCTTGAACTCATTTTTTTCTCTCCTGTCTTTTCAAGAAAAAATCTTGTCCTTGTTCATCGGCTTCTTCTCATTTTTCGTTTCTTTCTAGATTTTCCGAAGGGTCGCTGATGCGCGCCATATTTTCGCCCCTTTGGACGCTAGTCCAAGGCTATTAATCATCATCAGCGAAAACCTATTTTCCTTTCCCACCTTTTCTGTCCAGTGTGCATTTTTGTCAGATTCCAGGCTATGTCAAAAATATCCCGCGGCGGTATGTCAAAGATTTAGAGTCACCATGTTAGTAGTATTCCTCTACCCCATGCGAGAAAGATATGTGGAAAAAGATCTTTGTTAGACGTATACTTGAGAGAATTTCTTTTCGGAATTTTTATTTATTTCTTAACATATTTTCTTACATGATTCGAGATTAATTAAATCCTAGAGATCGCGATAAAAAAATCAATGTTTTCATCGTAATTTGGTAATCAATTTTGACGATAGAAATACCAATAAGTTATTTTCTCATAATAACTGATTAGAATTCTTTTCTCGAAATTCTAAAAATATAATCATGTCTCTCATTGACAAATAGTAATAATGTAAAAAATATCAAGCATTGAGATGAATGTGCTTTTAAAAATTTTGTTATCGAGATTTCGATAACATTCAACGTAATATTTGAAAGATATAAAATTCCTAGTGTATGACAAATAAAACATAATAGAAATCTTATTTATTATAATTTGACAATAAATACATATATTCACGTATCCAATTACAAAAAGTAATTGTTGATCGTGAATTTATTATCAATTCTCAAAAAAATGTTTGAACTTTATTCGTTATTTATTTTTATCGCTTACGTTATACGGTTTATTAAAAATAATGATTTATGATAAATTTATCGCTAATAATTGATAAATTTTTCAGAAATAAAATATCAGTTTCCGTAATAATGGAGATTTATCTCGGAAGACACATTAAGCCATACTAAGATAATAAATATATAGATTCTGTGATTAAAATAATTTCGTTGAAAGTACACTATGATGAAAATAATCTTAGTTTTTAATAAATATATTTGTTTAAATAGTTCTAAGTAAATATTTACTAGAAACATATATTTATAAACATACACTGAGAAAAATAGTCTGGTTGGATTAAACAGTAATTCTGGTGGAAAATGGACGAATCAGAATTTTCTGGTTATGTCTATTAGAATTCTAGCTGAACTAGAATTCTGATTAATATAATTATTCTGATGAAAATAAGAATTCTAGTAGATTTTTACCAGAAATATTGTATCAATCAGAATTCCAATTAGAATTCTCAATTAGAATTCTAATAAATTTAACCAAAAATTTCTGATTCGTCCATTTTCAACCAGAAATTTTTTTCAGTATACTTGATACAAAAACCATTAATTTCAACCATCATGTTTTTTATTAAGTAAATATTTATTTAATATAAGTAAATGTTTATTCACAATTCAATTTTACTCACTATTCAAAGGTAAGATTTAATCAACTTTTTTCAGCGTAGTTTTCAGTTAGTTTAAATTAGAAAACAGAAATGCTTTTCTTATTTCATCGTATCTCATTCACAAATATCTATGTATAAAAATCAAGACGCGTCTTCGCGTGCTCGTAGCTAGGCTGGAGAACAGCCGAGATTTTGTACTAGCTCCGAGCCCCCTAGTTTCTAGCCAAAAGGTCAATGCACTCACTAAAAATTGGGGAGAGTCCGATTTCCCTTCATCGGGCGTATCCAAAAATATGTAAACGTCGAACAAAATGCATACGTGTCGCGTGCCCCGCGAGTCCTGAACCGGTGCTGCTGCACGTATTTCGTCCCCCTTCCACATGTTCCCCTATAGAAAAACACCAATGGTGGCACGTGTTCACAGGGCAAGATGTTCCGCGGTTCGCCCCTAAAAATAGCTGGTTAGGACACCGCCACCTTTGGGGTGCTGCACATCGAGACACACCCGTCGCATCATCCCTCGTGTGTTCCATTTCTGGATGGATAACATGTACGTTCGTATTGAGACCTCGATTAGTGGTTAGATTTCAAGCTGATTTTTTCTCCTCAGATATTGCGGAATGATCATTGGTTACAAATATTTATACAATAAGTTATGATATTAGATATTTGTGCACGTTAAATTTTTTCTGTGATCTAATTACTGTAATAAGCTCTTATATAACTTATACGTCATCAAAATACTTCCAAATTCTTAAAATAAATTTGAACCAATTCTTTGAGTAGAGATGAAAATATTAGCTTTCATCAAAATATATTGGCGTTTTTATTAATCTATTCTGCATTAAAAATATTTAATATAGATAATCGATCGTTTGTTTCTAATCACGATTTATAATGAACTTTGAGCACATATTGTAAAAATATAAATATCACTTCCTATGACATGATCAATTTATTATCTTACATTTGTATCACAATTTACTTTTATTCTTCTAAAATGTTATGCACAATGAAATGTTTAAAATATTTACTTTTTTGGCTGTTCCTGAAAATACGCTTTTTTGTGTCTTTTCAAATTCGATAGAAATAATTGAGGATTATATCTTACTATGTTAGACTCTTGATGGATTGTGAGAAAAATCAAGATTGGGAAAGTTACTCTGTAAAAATAACTAGTTCCAGTTTTTTTCTCTCAGAAATTATCATTATAATTAATTACTCAAATTACAATCTGAAAAGCAACACATTACAGTCCTAATTACCTAAAAAGCGACGAGTCGTTATTTTTCTGTTAATTTTAGTAATTTTTTGCATTGCTTTTAAATGCAAGAATTTGTATATATTTAGTTTATACATTTTAACACTCTAAATTATTTTATTTATAATACTAAACTTCGATTATATACTATATATTGCTTATAATAAATTAATATATACATACGGAATAAAATTAAGATTATCAGAGATAAAGATATATTTCAATCACAAGAAATAATCATCATTCACTGAATTTATTTTATTTTTATTAAAAATTATGTTGTAATAAGTTTGATATAAAGTAATTATTAAATTAGTTATTAATTAGCAAAAAAATGTAATTAATTTAAGATACAATTATAAATGGAAAAAAGGAATCAGAGTTAAGTTACTAAAGAAAGTAAAAAAAGTAACAACTGTAACTTCGTTACAAAACTTGAAGTAACGAAATATTTCTTAACCCTGTGTAAAATACACACAAAATTGTAAAATACTTTTAGAATATATTTGACGCGTTTAAAGGAATTCTTCCGAAAAGAAAAGAGACCTGAATCGAACTAAACGCATCGGAAAAGAATATATCAGTTTACTACATTTTCTGTTTCTTTAAGGCAACTCCAGGTAAAGATTTTGTCAGCTTACAAAAGACTTCGATCGGGTCAACATTCATCGAAATATTTCAAGAAACTTTTCGGGAATTTTCACCATCTCAGCAGCGAAAACTGCATCACTAAAAATGATGCATTTTCCTTTTCCTTATCCATAATCCTCAAATCTTCAAAATCCGTTTTTCACAAGTTGTGACACTAAACTAAAATTTTAATTGCTTTCTATATTTCAATGTGTATTCTCTTGTGTATTTAACATCGAATTTGTTTAATTAGTTTCCTAATTTAAAAATATTTCTTTTCAATAGAAAGTGAGAATTAGATAGTAGCATTTAATAGTGCTATAATCTATTTACACATTAATGTTTTTAACTCATACTATATAATTGAAAATAAACAAGAATAAATTATCGTGCGATTCTACCGTAAATAATGAAATAATGCGTACACCGATAGACTGCCATGATTGTCATCTTAAATATCAAGAGATGCCAGAAGGATGCGTATGTAAATCCTGGTACCAGCATGCGCTACGCAAGATTTCTTCGTAGCCAGAGATGGCGATGTTTAAATTAAGAACGGAGTGGGTTTACGTCTGGGATCGGGGGCTGTGCCCTCTCGTATAAATATCGCAGCGGCTTAATGTTATATCCTCGACTTCCATGACTTCCGGTATCGTGGCGCGTGCCATACCGGAAGCGAGGGCACATCGTCCTCATCTTTCGTCGTTGCTTCTAATGATAACGCTTACTTTTCGCCGCACCATCTTGCCCTCTCCTTCAACCCCAAATGAAAACGACTCATGTCCCTGTCTTTCCTCTAAGAAACAACCCTGATACAGCTGGTTGCTAATATTTATACGTTTCCTGTGGCAACACGTTACTTAAGCGATCTCCCTCCCCCATTCAAGGAGACATGCCCAATTTTATAGTGAAACATAAGACATTATTTCGGTTAAGGAAGAATTATGTGCGACAAATTTTGATACTCATAATTGAGTATCTTGTAAATGTTGCTTAAATATCTGACTTTGATGCGTCTTTACTTTTTGAAAATATAATTTCTCGTGATATATGATATTACTTGTACAAAATGTGAAAATTTAGCGGGATAGACTTTAAGATATTTGATTATCTTTACACATTTTATTAAATTTTGTCAGGAGTTCGTACTCTGCCTAATATTAATGTTTTCTGGATTAGAACGAGATTGTTTGAACAAATCCCGGTTTAAAAAATTCAATTTCTAGCGAAGCGGCGTTATTTTAATACAAAAAGGAGAATTACGTGGCAAGCTTTAAAGCTATTATCGATGGTATGCTTGAAGTTTTTGTGAAGTATTGGTCACAGAGATTAGAGTAGACAGTGAAAACGTAACGTTGTGTATAATTTTAATAGTAACGCGAAAGAAGAGTATCTAATGACCTCGATCGTGTCGATACAAGAGAGAATTTGAACTTTTTGCACATCCTTGATTGCACCATAAACATCACAGAATCGAGAAGTTTCGTTAACATTACAGCTATCGAATAAATATATTACAATGGTTTCGTTTGCAATCGATATATTACGCAGCTCAAGATTATTGTCCATGATGCTATATTTTACGATTGCAATAATTCTTAATTTTAGTAAATAAATTACGTCAATTGTGTAAGTTTAAACATAAAAGACAAACAATAAGAATGCAAAATAAAAAGCGTAAACTCTACAATATGATTAAAAAGTAAGAATTTTAACAATTAATAACCACACCTTTGCTTTGACATGCACGAGTGGTGCGAAGGATTTGTCTCAGAAATGAACATTTTCAATCCTTCCACATCAAACGTATATAAAGGAGCAAAAAAATGTGCAGCAATGAATTTTTTGTGATTCAATATATGATATATATATTATTCTTGATAATATATAAAGAAATGCTAGCATGTAAAAAAATTAAGAAAAAAAAGCTGAAATTTGCGTCATCGTGCAGTGCAGCTTATTTTGTTAGAAACAAAATCAATATTATGTAAAGCAGTAAAATTATGACAGGTGGCGTTTAATAAAAAATAAATTTTTATGAGAAATACATAAAACTTTTCAAGAAAATATTAATGTGAATAAAATAAGCGTATACGAAAGCTTTTTAGGCTGTTTTTGCAAATTTACAAGCTTTGTAGATGTTACATTTATATCAGATACTGCAATTTGCAAATAATTTTAAAAAAAGTGCACTTTAAGGCTAGTGTTCAAATAATAATCATACAATGCGACTTACCATTATCGTCGATAACAAGTTGCACAAGTTGCATGACCTCTTCGACAATCAGCGTTATTTTGTTATTAACCGCTGCGCGAAACATTTCCACCAATATACGCCCAACCATTTGTCTGCAACAAAAAATCAGAATCACGATGTTAAATCATTGCCAGGTATTCTGCGTAATATTATCGATCGATTTGCATCTTTACGACAAAATGTAGAGTCCTAAATTGGTTCGCGCGATGAAATACATTTGATTAATAGTCTAAAAAAAAAACATGTTAATGTTATCTATGCTAACGTTAAATTTCGCAACATTAGCTAATTGGAATTGATAAATCTATCTCTCTATTGAAATTGCATATTTTTACGGAACTAATTTAATTTTATTAATAAAAATAATCGCTATGAAGTGTAAACGATGAATAGTAACTTTAGGCTGCTGTTTTCAACAGTAAGTGGATAGAATACGTAACGGAATTTTCCAATGTAAGTCAACTCATGGTGTGTTTGACATTCACATATTCGCTTTCTAAGATATGTTTGCACTCCACTCATACATCATCTCACTTCTTCAGGCAATCATTCTTTTCTCTAATATATTGCTCGACGTAGTCAACCGATAGTTCCTTATTTCTTGCCAATAATCACATCACTAAGAAAAATAGACTTGGATTAAATAGTAATTCTGGTGGAAAATGGATAAATCAGAACTTTATGTTAAATCTATAATTAGAATTCTCATTGATATTCTGGTAAAAATAAGAATTCTAATAGATTTTACCAGATATAGATTGTACTAATCAGAATTCCGATTATTTCAACTAGAATTCCAATCTAACCAAACAATTCTGATTCGTCCATTTTCAATTTTTTTCAATAATGTATCGTCTCATTTGATCTCAGACACATTTTTGATAGGTTTTTTCTACACTATAATACAATCACCGCGAATAATTGTTGTTGAAAGCTTTCTCTAGATTAATTAATTATTTTAAATAAATTAATCTAACCTATATTAATAATATAAAAGAGTTCTTTTATATTAATTTTACGTGTAGTGTTTCTTTGTAGTGTTTTCTATGTGCTTATAGGAGAATTCTTTATAGGTTGGACACCCTTAACATTTTTGCTCATAACTCAGATGAGAATCAACATATCATATTGATATTAAGATACTGTCTGAAAGCTGAGGTTAATAGCTACGTTGTGGACAAAAAAATCATTGGATTTAGTGGATTTTTTTTTATAGTCAATTCAAAAAAAGACCCTCATAAATGACCTCCTCAAATTTTTTAATGTAGATTGGATACCCCCCAAAAAAATGCTAAAAATGCACAAAAATTCAAGTAAAAACACAATGTTTACAAAATTTCTTCAATTTCTTCAATTTATTAATTGATTGATCTCAGTTGATTTGAACATAAAAAAATGAAAATTGGAATGAAAATAGGCTTTGAAGAGGAAAAATTAATAAAAATTGGAATGAAAATTTTAATGAAATGACATCACATTGATATTAGTCCATATCGGAATCGCAATTTGGGCACGTGTAAACATTATAACGTATATCGGTACATTTTGTGAACGACATTTTGTGAACGATTATATTGCATGTATGGCACTTTATGGAATTATTTTTGGTGAGTTTGTCAGGCATTTTTTTTTTGAGAAAATCACCGAAAATTTCATTAAAATGCAATAAAAACACTTTTTATTTCACTTAATAAGAATTCCGAACATCAAAAAATCATAAACAATTGCGTCATATCGTAGAAAATGAAAAAAAATGTCCAACCTACAAAATTGTTGACGTTTAGAAGTTGAAAAAAAAATTCAATTCATGATTTGTTCGGAATTTTCTTTACATTATGAAAATACATAAAAAATGGAGCACAGTACATATATTCACCTTAAATTTTGATGAAAATTATTCAATTTATAATCTTAGTAAAAAAATCACATAAAAACGTAAAGTTTAGTATTTTAGAGACAATGACAGTCGGAGTTTTGGTGTTTCCACTGCAAATATTCGAAATATCAAGGAGTGTCCAACTTACAAAGATGTCCAACTTACAAAGAACTCCCCTATATAATAAAAACCAAATAATAAAGCTAAGAAGGTTATATTTTGTTTTGCTCAATATATTTAAAGCATTACATTTTCTGCAAAAGTTGGAGACGCAATAATTACGTAAAGAAATGAGTTTAGTGTTAAATTACTAAATTTTGATGTTTATAAAAATTTCGATAATTAAATACATAAATACAACATGATTTAATCATCAATCTCAAGAACGAAGATAGGAATCTGCGAAGAACTGAAACAAAATAATAATAAATACTGAGAAGCAACATGTGTCTACCTTGACAACTGTGCACATGATATACTCAATATTGAGGTGCTAAAAGGAAAATATAAGAGCAAACGCCGCAAATTCCAAGACAGTCGATTATCTTCATCAATTATTCATTTCACATTGTCTGCGTATTTCGGCGCACTTGGCCCGGTAAAATTTCAGAGAACTCGAATAAGTTCGATAATTAAATACATAAACCAAGTTAAGTTTCATGGCCATCTTCTCGAAGTTGCGAGGCATAAAGGAAAAAGGCGAAGGAGAAGAAGAAAATACCAAGTATCGAGGCAAACAAGCATCACGACAAGTACGACAAGGAAAACGAGACAACGTTTGCGGGCAGCGCACCATCATAGCAGGCCATGAAGGCGGCGGCCGCCCTCCACGATGAGTGGAATCGAAGACGAAGAGCAGGAAGTGGAAGACGAAGTATCGCCGTCGTGTAGTTCGATCACGTCGCTACCCTTCCCTACCCGTACTCCTACGTGCCCTTTCCCGTTCGGTGTAACTTCACCCCACCGCGATGTCGGGGGACCCTCCCCTCTTGCAAAGGAGATGCGAGAATGCGCGCGAGTGGGGTCGAGCGTTGGTGCTACGGACGAGGTAGAGAGGGCGGCGGCGGAGCGTTGGCGGTGGTGGAGGCGACACCAACGGAACATCGTCGACGGTGCCCCACCAGATACGCAGCGGCGCATCGCCGAGTGGGGCAGAAGCGTTCTCCAAAGTAGTTGGAGAACGCGCGACTAAACGGTACCGCCCGTGAACGCCTACCATCCTGGCGCAAACATGGCCGCCGACCGCGGCAGCGGCGATGACGGCGGTCGCAGCGACCACGATGACGACGTCGACGAAGGCGAGGGAGAACGAAGACGGTCTTCCCTATGGAATTTTCGGGAGTAGGCGCGCGCGCACGGCCACGCTTCGCGATTCTCCGCGTGCGGAAATAATTCCTCCCCGGTATACAATGTATGTGTACCCTGCTTCCAGGCGCCCTCTACTCACCTGTATCCTGTAGAACGATGACTTAGGTTCATTTTATCAGGATCCAGACACCCTCTGGCCCAAAATGAATTGAAGTACGAGTGCCGACACTTCCCTACGGCCTACCTTGCGCATGATCGCTGTAGTTTGCGAAGATCGATAAAGAACACGGCGTTTTCTTCCTCCTCCTCTTTTCACGCGCGAGCGATATTGTAGTTGTGTACACATATACATTATATAT